AACATAGGTCAGTATTTTTCTGTGAACTTAACATTTTGTGGAATGAACAGAAATCCACACTGCAAGTGCACAATACCTACAGTCAAAATCTGTTCAGTATTGGTTAGCTGTCACTGGTCATAAAAATCAATTGATGAGTACTTTGCTTCCTGACTGAATGAAGGAAACTCACAAAGGCTTTGATTCGGGAAAATACTTAAACAAATGCTTAACTTCCTTCCTAGTCCTCAGGTCATCTACGCATATGCTTAATTTTAAATATGTATGCTAGGGTGCTCTTCCAAAATCAAAGTTACTGAGCTTTGATTCTATCAAAGAGATATACATTAAGATCACCCACAAAAGCTAAATAGGAATAATGTATTTGATCAAGTCTAAACCTTCCACTTTGGCCTTAGTATCCATGGCAGAAGTCCTATTCTTGGGGAAAAAAATAGGTCATAGTATAAATTATTAGTAAGGTGAAGAGTTCAAATTAAATTTTATCTTTCAATTCAAATAGAGTAACAGCATGCAAATGACTCCTTTTCACTGTGCATGGGAACTAGAATCATTTTATAGGCTTATTTGACTACCTGTATATCAAGCTCAGTCAACCTTTTAGTGGGACCTCATGCTCCATTTCTAGCATACCAATGCCAACGTCACCTGTGGCTTTGAGTCTGTAATCTCTGCCATTGCACCCACAGACACTGATGACAAGAAATAGTACTTCTTCATTCACAATTATATATCTCTGATTATATAAGAATAGTCCACTGCTTGACATAAAGGTATGGAACTAGCCCATGCTTTGTAGAAGACACTCAATGTGCCATAATTCAGATTGGTGCATTAGTTGTTGGCAATTGACTTCAAATTATCCCAGTGTATACCGGCGACTCTTTGTAATGGGTGCAGTAATTACCCTACCTGGCTCCTTTGACTGCCAACAGAATGATACACTGCACGTATCCAGAGCTCATGTGACCAAAAGCCGATGCTGAACACTGGCATGAATGCTTGTGGATACTGTGATGGAGCCAAATTAATTTTTTAAATCGCAGCAAGTAAACAGAAAAGGCTGCTTTAGACACAGCTCCAATCTTTATGGGAAAAACCATGTGAAATCTGTAGAATCTCTCTTGCACATACCACTAAAAAGTGGTCTAAAGAAATCACTTTACCGTGAACAAAAACCTGTTCTTCAGATATACAACTTGCCTTCTCCATCTTTTGCAGACGCATCCCCTTGCAATATTTCTACCAAATCCCTAGGTACAACTCTACCTAAGTTGAGTAGATGGTATATAAGCAAAGGCAACTTTTATAGCTTCTCTTTGTTGGGTAAGATTTTCAATCTTGCACGGGCTTGTGCTGCAACTATACCTACAGCTAGACATCTAATGGGTCATTTGCATGTGTAGTTATGTTTTTCTCCACAGATAATAATGGTAAATCCCAAGGCAAGTTATGCAGACACAGAAATACACATGCAATGATATATAGAATTTCCGAAATCTACCTAGGTTATTTTGCATTTTCTGAGATAGAAATAAAAAGTTTAAAAACTAAACATAAAGATCTTAAGTATGTCAAAATGTGACTAAAGTTGCTTGATACAATTGAAGGAAAACACTATTTCACTTTTAACACCAGACAGCTCTATAACCTGAGTTTTGTCACCAGAACTAGCCCAACTTTGGTATCAGATCAGCTGTTTATTTCCTAGATCAACTGATTCTTCTTTGTACAGGAGGCAGATTGCAAGGCCGGGAAGCAGGCTCCTTGCTAGTGAGACACAGTCATTCCTGAAGACAATTAACCACCAAAGGCACTAGGCCGGCAATCCTGGTTGGTGACTTTACTTGATGCCATCGCCCTGACTTGCTGTTCTGCTCTAGATGTGTTAAACACCTGCCAGGTTCCTCAACAGACCATTTTGAAAACTCAAGAAAAGGTTAGTTCCTGCACGTTGTCGGTCTTTTCCAGTTTGGTAAGTTCATCCCTTTCCAATAACACATCTGCATCTCCGTTCCCTTTGGGTAGGATCTGTAGTCTAACCACTTTCTGGCAGGCCTCTGTACTGCATTGCACTGGGCATGAACCATTTTACTGAGCAAGCCCAACTGGGCTTGGCACCCACAAGAATTTTCCTTCGGGAGTCTGTGGACAGCAACAGTGTGCAATAAAACAGAAGCTGTTTCTTCAAAACAAAGTATGATTCATTTGCCAAAGCAGGCACAGTACTCGAAGAAAGGGACTCATGAACAGCCAGGAGACCTGTATGCCTGCTGTCTTACTTGGCATTTCCCTCAAGTACCTATTTTTGCTCTGGTTTGTTTTGGGTGACCCAATTACAGCCTGTGTGGTGCAGACCCTGACTCTCAGCAAGGCAGGATGAGCCTGCAGCAATTTCTCATCTCTCTTCCCGCACAGTGGGTCTTTTAACCTTAAAGTTCATGACTTCAGCAAACAGCTGTGTAACCAGGGGTAGAGTGGAGAAGTTGCCTTTTCACAGACATTAATAGAGATCAAATATTTGTTGGGATGCTCCTTATCTAGGCAATTGGTTGTTTTTTATATTTGGTTCCCCTGACAGTCCCGTTTGATCTACTTCCATTGCAAATAACCCCTCATAAATAAGCACAAACTGAGTCATACACAACTAAGCAACGTAGATTCTTCTCAATTCCCCACAATATTAGCTAAATAAATGACTTCACCATCAGAAGCTCTTGTTCCAGCAAGCTTCAAGAAGACAATGGAAGAGAAACAGACCAAATTACAAAACTGAACTACCTACTCTGCTGTCTAGTTGCAACCAAAATCTAGAAGGCAAAGTTGTAAAATGTCTCTGTGCTCACATCTCCAAATCATGACATCATAGATCTTTGACAGAAGAGGCAAAACAAAGGAAAAAACCTTGTTTCTGCCATGGCACAAAACCATCTGCCAGCCACTGTCTACCAAAAACTTAGTGTTCCTTGGAGACATATTCTTCAGCTGTAAAGGCGGAAAACCCTGACACACAGCTATCATTTATTCTCCACTACCAATTCAACTTTTGGTGTCACAAGTTGTCCAGCTGCAGGGAAGGATCATAATTTGGCTCTCATTTAACACAGGAAACTAGGAGAGATATTAATATGCACTGGATAGAAACTCTTTGAGAAATCTGGCAACATTTTTACTTTTATCAGTGATCAAGGGCATGAGATCTCAGATGTCAGTGATATGATGTCTTTGGCATATACAAGACTTAGCTTGCATATCCAGTATCATGAAGGACAGCACAATAATAACAAAATCATACTCTGTCTTGGACAAAATGCTGCACTCTCTTATTTTCATTAAAGACCTATACAATAAGAGATGTTCTCTTCTGTCATTTCAATGTCAAAACTACAAAAAATTATTGTATTGAAAATGAAAGAAGACAGGCACAGTATTTAGCAGAATACATCAGTATATCAAGCTTACTTTCATAGTCTGCACTGGTTATCCAACTGTTTTGAAATAAAACCCCAAGGATACAAAAAAGACTTTTTTTAATGAGTAGAGCTATGGGTCCCTTCAGAGACTTCTGCAAGAGTTATGTAGTTGGAAGAACAAGGAATTTTGAAAGATCTAGAAAACTACTACATGAAGTATTCTTGAATGTCTAAATCCCCTTTTTTCTGTAAATTGGTGAAGTGGGGAAATAAAGGCCTGACCTGGAGTATTGTTTCTTCGTAATTCATAGTCTTAGAACTACAGAATATCTCAAATTGGAGGAGATTCATAAGGATCATCAAGTTCAACTCCCTGCTCCTCACAGGACTTCCTAAAACTAAACCATATGACTAAGATTGTCATCCGGACAGTCCTTGAACTCTGACAGGCTTGGCCGTAAACGGCTCCTCTGGGGAGCCTGTTCCAGTGACTGACCACCCTCTCAGTGAAGAACCTTTTCCTAATGTCCAATCTGAGCTTCCCCTGATGCAGTCTCATTCCACTTTGCTTCACTAAACTGAACAAACCAAGTGACCTCAGCCACTCCTCACAACAGCATGCATAGTATAGATGTAAATTTTCACATGTAAAACAACTGCATGTACAGATTTCTGTTTCCATGCTGATGTAAAGTTCCCTGAAATGGTGATTTGTTTGTGCTATTTCTATGATTCTGTGGAATTTCTGGTTTATCAGAAGCAAGATTTTTTTGGCTACTTTTAACATTAAAATTTTATCATATTTTTAAAATTATTTTAAAGAGGACAAGTAAACAAGGTTAAAGCCTATTTACACGTTTATGGTTGGCATCAGTTACATCATGTGCTGGGAAAACTACATCTGCTTTTGTACATTCCCTAAAGTCCTTGGATCAAAGTCTATTCTGGGATACTGCACTGTAATACTGGGATGACTCCACTAAGGCCAGTTGAGCTGCTTCTCTTTACCAAGAAATGCAGCACAACTCAAGGTTAGGAAGAACAAATTTTGATCAAAGATACAAATGAACCTGGGCTACTGAGCATTTAGCTGTCTGGGAGTTGACTGATTGATAGCTGACCACAGAAGTGAAACACACATCATCCAATTAATAAAGTTCAGACAGACATTAAAATGACACCACAGTTTTACTGACAGTTCCCAGCACGTGCGACCATGGTGTAAGTGCTGGGAATCAAGGTCTAGGACACGCTACTGAAAGTAGGAGAGAATACTTAACTAGATTTGCTTCAGGGTCTCATATCTGATCTTTCTTAGGTTCACCTTGTCTAAAGGACATCAGGTATCTCAGATTCACAAGAACGAAAAGGGCATGAAAATGCTTTCTGAAATGACATTCATGCTCTTGATTTTCTCTTTTAAAAAAGTATTGACTATTCATATGGTTGCATACATGCACAGGCATGTTTTAGTCTTAATAGTATGTTTTAATAACGTTCAAAAGTTTAAAATACACTCCCGATCTTTGATGCAGTTAGAGAAAACAGAGCATGTACCTTCTTCTGATGGAAGAAATAAATGTGTGGCTAGAACAGCTTATAAATGTCTCTCAAAGCACAGTATGCCTCCGTTGTTTCATCCACAATAAAACATAAAAGTACATTTACCTTTTTTAACTTTGCTGCTCCAGCACCAGAGCGAATGGCCTCCATTAGGGCTTGCCTTGCCTCCCCAGGGTTACCCGTACCCATGGCAGAGGATTTAGGAGCTGCTGCTGACAGCTGAGTGGGAGGTGGTGGTGGTGGCTGAGCAGGGGCAGGTGGGATCTGCTCTTCCTGAGGGTCTTCTGCCTTCTGCAAGGACAGTTCTGCATTCCTAAAACTCTGCAGTTCTTTGGAGGCCAATGAGGAGATCTGCTCGTGATGCAGTTGAAAGGAGGTAATTAATATCAAGCATGACTACCCTGGAATTACTTGACATTTGATGCACTTTCAGTACCCCGATTTCACTTTGCTTGAATGATGTAAAACACATATAACTTTTGTTTGCTCCTGGGGTTGAACATCTGTTACTACTCACTCACATCACTCAGCTGGGCTGATTACCAGCATCAAGGATTTGGCATTGACTCAGTCTCAGAAACTCAATCTTTATTTACTGTGAGCTCCAGCATCCTGTAACTCTTCTTGGCATGCAAGGTAAGAGTGAGAGTTGGACTCGGTATTCATTTGGAAATAACCACAAGAGTTTTGGAATCAGGAAGATATATTAAGGCTGCAGTAGCCACCCAGGAATATCGTTACTTTCTGCAGTCTGGGCTGCACAGACATAATCTCAGATGACAAGGAGGCACTTCTAGATCTGAGCTCTCAGACACAGCTTCATTGAAAAAAATGCTGTTCAACCTAAAGTTTACTAAAAAAAAAAAAAAAAAAAAAAAAGGACCAGAGAGAAGTACTTGAAGGCACTGAGAACAAAATCAATTGATTGCTCTCCCAAGCATGTTTCTGTGGAACTTCTGAAACGAAAATTTCTGCACGAATTACCAGCTTGGAAACTCATCCTACATTAAATGAATGCAGGGGGAGGAGGCAACCTTTCAGATTAAGACAGCTTTTCCATCAACTGTCTCAACAAATATTTTTGCCGTTAACATTACTAGTAATAATCATGATAAATTGTTAGTAATTACAATGATTTGGCAATTATTAGGAAATTCAGTATTGTGTGCCAAATGGGAGGTTTTCAAGCAGATGTATTAGCATTCCTTTCTCAGAGAAACTGAGGCACAAAACTTCTCTAGTGAAAAATTAAAGGATTCATGTCCCATCAAATAATCTACATTCAGAGAGCTCCTATATTCTATTCCTTCACTGTATACACACACACAATATAGAGGAATAACGTTATGTCAGATAAAACATGAACATTTCAGTTAACATGAAAGGGACAGCTCTTTTATCATAGCACATCTCTGTCTTGCCTGGTACACATACAAACGTGGTGCTTTAACTAGCACAGGTGACATGGTGTGAAGAAGCAGCATATGGTTTCTAGGCAACTTCCTTTAAAATGATGGCAAAATCTTCTCTGCTGGAGGAAAGTATTCCAAAAAGTCTCTGTAATAGGACAGGACCACTTCGTTGGTCAGAGCCTCTTTTACACAAATTTACATTTACTCCCAATGAATGCAGAATGCAGGTAAGTATGTGCAAAGATGGCTGCTGCCTAGCATGTCCTGTGCTCAGGCTCATAGAAAGCCATATCCTACCTGCAGCAAGGGCAGTACAGTATTTGAGGGATGAAGTATTTCCCTAACACAGGCAAGAGATTCTTTCTATCTAGTGTCGGCTATCTGGATATGTGTTAATGGCCTGAGTCATTGCACAAGGGAAAGGGGAACCTCCTTGCCAAATACACATCCTTGGCTGGATTAGTGAACTGAGTGAAAACTAAGGCTAGAACAATGCAGGTTTTGGCTACTGGGAATAAGAGATGCTTTAATGATTAGGTAAATCTTTCAGACAGAAGGAATCATCCTGCTGTGGTGAAAGCTGATGTTCCCATCAACATCAATTACCTGCATACAACTTGCTTGCACCAGCTCATGCTAAGAGATAAACAGCACGCATGAAGAAGCCCCTAGTGTGTTTTCAGGTAAATGGGATTGGATGCATGCCATAGGTAATGCAAATACATTAATCTAACTGCATACTCCTAAAGTACAAAAAAATACCCACCTAAATGTGAAAACTATGAACATTTTATGTCTTCTATGTGCAGTCCCTGTAATTAGTTTGGATTTCTATGTGCTTATTTCTCAGCTACAAGCACACAATTTAAGAGTGTGAAGTTTTATATCAGAGGATAGGATTGGATCTGCTATGCTGTCTGCGTAAGTCAGATCTGGTCTTGTGTCGTATTATTTCCCCCTCAACTTCTCTCTTTGCAGTGCAACATTTAGTTTGTGGCATACCTGGGCTTATACAAAACACCCAGCAAGAGCAGACTGCACTTAAAAGATTACTTAGTGTCTTGATTTCTTACCTTTTTCAGCTTTGAGGTGCCACTGTGGCCCCTAATTGCTGCTAGAAGGGCTGAGCGCTCATTCTCTGGCTCAGCATATGAGGGTTTCTTGTGATTGCCATTTAGTGCACTGTCTGAAACCTAGAATATGAAAAGAATAAACCTCACATTGTTATTAGATATTTACTTAGAGCTAGTTTGGAAACACTATTAAAAATATTTTTGTCACTTGTACCAGAATGCAAGCTACGGACACTAATCAGTATGTCTTCTTTCAGGCTTGCCTGTACAACCCTTGCTCCCACTGAATGGTGAGGACACGTGTAGGTAGTAATGCTGTACTTACAGATGCAGTCTCATCCCCTGAGCATGAAGTCAGTGACAAACTAGTACCACCTAGTAATACAAAATGTAGTTTTCTTTCATTGCAGGTATTTACAAGTTTTCTCCACGCTGTGTGTTCCTGACACATAACACACATTACATACTGAAATGCAGGTTTGGCTCTTAGGCTAACCTCAACTACTTCTCCTTTATGCTGTATCTCTGCACCCTCTGCCTCTTCTAGCTAGTGCAGCAGCAATGGTGTTGCATAATATATAGGATGTGCAGAATAAGCAGTGGCTTGGCCTGCATTTCGCCACTATAAATTTTTCAAATGCCTTGGGTACTCCAGCTCACCAGTAACTGGACCAGTTATAAAATCTCTGGTGTCTGACAGGGTGAATGCAGGGCTCTGCAGTCTGAACAGGCTAAAAAAAGTCTCCACTTTACCTTTCGGAGTTTCTCCTTTCCTCCTCCTGTTTGAATGGCTTCCATTAGGGCACTGTGCAGTGACATATCTTTTGGAACTGGTTTTTGGACAACAGGTTTGAACTTCTTCTTTGGTCCAAAGATATTGGCCTGCACATTAACATCCAGTTCACTGACAGCATTAATATCCCAATTGCCAGGTTTCTCCTCCTGTTCTGACTCTGCATTTGCTGTTGCACCATTTAACTCAGGTGAAGCTTTAAGCGAATTGACTTGTACACCGTTAGCAGGAGGCCATTTAGTGACTCGCAAAGACGAGCTGAAAGAGGATGGGACTCCTTGGAGATCAGGAGACTTGAAAGATGAGGCTGAATTAGTATGGGTCAAAGTCTCACATTTCTGGTCAAACAGCATCTTATTCTCTGCCATACTTTGTTTGCTGTTTAAACCATGATCATCTTCGGCATTGTTGTTATCCTTTGAAGAGGATTTAGTAAGTGGGACAACAGCATTCTTTTTATAGAAACTTGCAGGAGTTGCTTGACTTGGTGCCCTGATGTTAACTACTTTGTTTTCCATGCCAGAATTAGCTTTTTGACTGCAAGTAAAAATCCTTGAAAGTGTTTCTCTTGTTTCTGCCGATTCTGTTTCCACGGGGCTATATTTGGCCACAATAATACATCTTTTTGGTGAAACTTCTGCTTCAGTTTTAACCTCTCTCGACCTTTGCTTATCTTCATCTTTCTCATGATATTCCACAGAGTCAGACTTAAATGGAGCTACGTTGATGTGTCTTGCAATGGCAGAGGCAACGTACTGACTTGAAGTTCTTCTATGTGGCTTTTGAAATGGAAGCTCCAGCTTGTCCTTATTAATGGCTGGGATCACTAATGGTGTTACCTGAGACTGCGTGACTGAAAGAGGTGGTTTGGTCCTTTCATTCTCAGACTGTCTTTCAGCTACCTGGGTAGTAACATTTTGTGGTGGTACAGGTTTTGGAGCTGCAAGACAGACAGGTTTGTGTTCATGTTTTATAGTAAAGGGCTTAGAGTTTGTGGTGACTGCTGACTTTTTAGGAAGATGCTCAGCAGAGTCATCACTTTGCTTTTCCATAGAACTTGACCTCCAGAATGCCTTCACTTTCCCAAGACAAATTTCATCACTTTCATCAGTAGAAGTACCTGGTATGTGCTTACTGACACCAGTGCTTGGGCCTATAAGGTTGCCTAGTTCATCTATCTTAATGGCACCAGTGGAGAGTGAAACTCCTCTATCAAAATGTTTTACTTCAGGTTTGGGAGGGACAACTTTAAAGGTTTTCAACCCCATTTTAGGTTCGTAGTTTGTGCACAATGAATTCTGGGCACGATGACACCATGTGGGTGTTGATGGGACTTCTTCTACTTCAATTTTTTTTGCTGGTGGCCATTTGATTTCTAATTCTGATTTACTTTTTTTCAGGGATCTTTCCCTGTTACTACATTCATTTATCTTCTCTTTTGCTGTACTGATTTCAGCTGTGGCCTTGGAGTGAGATGGAGTCAGCTTAGATTTACATTCCTCAGATTTCCCACCATGTTTGGGTGGGGCTTCCAGTCTTAAGTTCTTTTCACTTCTTTTTTCAAAGGAGGATGTAAGAGATTCAAACATATCTCTCCTCTGTTCCACAGGCAAGTCACTGAATTTGTTTTCAGATAGCTGCTGATGTATTAGGTCCTTGGACATGCATGCAGCTCCACCGTCTGTGTGTCCCTTATCAAAGGAACCTGCTTTGTTGTTTTTATTTGTAAAGGTTCCTGTATTAACGGAGTCAGCTGAGATATTCTGTGAGACCCTTGTCTCTGTCTCTTGATTTCCAGCTGAGTTAGAGGAGGTAATTTCTGGAGCATCATCTATGACTGTTACTGGAACAGAAATAGTAACATCTTGAGGAGCCTCAATTTTTCTTACATGTGGGCTCAACACTTCATTGATGTGTCCAGAGTCAGAGTTACTTATAACATCCATTGCTGCAAGAGACACACACAACTTTACACATAGGCAGTATCTAGGCAATATGACTTTAAATTATACAAACAGTCGGTACAAACTTAAGCAGATCAGATCTTTTACCTACACTAAAACTAACAGGAACATATTTATGCCTGTATTAAAAAAAAGGAGAGATCTGGGTCCTTTTTATTGTCTGGTTGCTGATTAGGATCAGCCAAATATTCCTGCAGTCCTCCTGCTTCAGCCAGTGGGAAACATACAAATGCAGCTGAAAGCAGAATTTAATCTATTGTTCATACCTTATCTTTGACTAACTTCTCTCAGTGATAAACATTTCACCACATGACTCCAAAGGAGAAACATTTCTGAGAAACAGTGAGCAACTCCAAATTATGTTTCCCAGACCTGGTTAGTAATAACAGCACAGCTGAAGGATTTCCTTCAGCAAGCAAACAAAGAAACAGTACTTGTATTTTTTCTCCATTCTTCTCACCCTTCATTACAAGCGACTCCAGAAGCCTCATTGTGCAAGAAGCTTAACTCTCCTCTTGAATTTGGTGGTATAAATCAGGGGTTAAAACACAGAAGCTAAGAAACTGCAGTGTTAGAGAACTTGCAGAAATTAAATTAAAATCAAGTCCACTGCAGAAGTACTGAAATAAAGATGGGAGCTTTAAAAAAGTATTCAACATAATTTGGTGAAAAACCATTAACAGAGAAATATTTTTATTCACAGTAGGAAAAAGAGGAGCACAATATGACATTTTATATCTTCACACTGTTTCTTTTCATGTTTTTTGCTTTTTAACTTTAAAACACATCTGCTAACTCAGAGGAGGCATTAGGTACAAAAATATCCTCCCCTTCTCCACTTCATTATGATAAAATACAAAACGAAGGCATTGTTCATTAAACAGAGAGCTAAATTCACAAGAGATTTAGCTTCACTGCAGTCAATGAAATTATATCAAATTTGGCCCATAAAATGTGTCCATAAACTGCTGTTCATCTCTTTTTGGTAGCAGACATTGATATAAAATGTCAATCTGATAAGCAGCTTGAAAAATATTCAGTGCGAGTCTATAAAGAGTGGCTGCCCCTAGAAGCAAAGGGACAGCAGCCACTTTGGGTTGACCACATTCTGCCTTAGACCTGCGAGGTGATCTTAGTGAGAAGATGTCTCAGAGTGCAGTTTGAACCCGCATCTCCTGGCAATGCATGTCTCTTTTGTACTTCAGAGTTAACACACCTCCTTACCTTCTAAATCTTCATCCAGGCCAGCCAAAGTCTCCTGGAGTTGTGCAGTAATGAGTGTATCTTCATTCTCATGCTTAGCTGAAGCCATTTCTTCATCTCTCCTGCTACTTGGAAGAGGAGAAAAAGGTCAGGTCTCCCCCTTTTTTCACTTTGCACTGTTGCTCTGAAATACACTATCATTTCAGCCCCTTTGGTTTCACTGGGGTTCTGAAACTCATTCCCCAGAGAATGAAAAATACGTGGTCTTGGAGACACACACCACCATGCTGACACATCTCCATCTAGGAAGGGTCTCTGTGGTGCCTGAGCATACTCAGCATGCTGGCGATCAAAAGATAAGGATTAATAAAGCCTGTTGCAAAGCAATGATCTGGCTCCACTGTGAAGTACATATTTCAGCTGGGCTGCAGAAAAGCAGCATGCACCAAGGCAAAGGTTTTGCGTATCTATATAATTTTAAAGCAGACCACTAGCCATCCTATGCACACGCTGTGCCAATATATCTGCACGTTAATTAAATAAAAATTGCATGGCAATGAAAAATAAATACAGCTAAGTACTGTTAGACAATCACTCTGCATCCTGAGGGGAGGGAGGGGAAGAGGAAAAAGAAACTAATCTCTTGAGAGCTGTTTCTAATGAAATACATCTAGGGGCCCAATTTTGCCAGAAAATAACTCCATGGTTTTTGACGAAGTTGTACAATGATCTAAACCAAGTCTGAAATCAGAATGAGCGCCAAGTGTTGTCTTGGCTTATTAAAAGAAAGAAAGAAAAGGAAGATAAAACAACAACAACAAAAAACCTAACAAAAAATAACTAAAATAAAAAAAATACACATGGCAACTTGTTACACAGCAGAACTTGTGTTTCTTAGAAAGAAAAATCTTCACCAGCAGAGCTTTTCTATCTAAATCATTGAAGCTAGGATTTCACATTGGGCAATTAGATTTTTTTTCCAGCTACCTGTTCCTGACCTGAATTTAAGACACTGTTGTCTGTGACACTGTATCTCAGTTTTGCCCTTGTGATTAGCCTATTGAAAAAATTGTTTTCCATTCTAGCCACACCTAAACTAATTCTGTTCAGGTGAAGTAGATTTGCCCTTTTCAAGAACAAACCCTTCATATCACAGATACAGTAATAGATGACTTTTTTTTTTGGTAGTTTAATGAACAATACCCGAAAAATGACATTTTTCTGCTGCCCTTTGAGATAATAGAATAAAAAATCAGAGAAGTTTCCTGACATTGATTTAAATAATGTCTGACTGTGTAGCTTCCTTTTTTTGCTATTTTGTTGTTTGATTTTTCCCTTGCTCATAACAGGAACAACTGAAAGCACTTATTGAAGCATCGGGTATTTTATTTTACTTTATTTTATATTTATTTTTAATTTACCTTTGTTTTCTTTATGTCTTTTTTAACAGTCCTGTAACCCAATTCTTCTACTTGAACCTCAACTGCCTTGCACTTATGAAGCTGAGATCATGTATGTGGGATCAATGAAAACAGCAAACCACATCTGCAAGGAAGCCTTCCAAAACTTTTTTCAGACACATATCCTTTTCCTAAACAGGGATGAATTCAAGGTGGCAAAGCTATATACGTGCCTAAGTGGCTTCCTAAACTGGAATCTAAGACAGAAATTTGTATTGTTTTTTTTAAATACAGAGGAAGAGACAGAACCACAGGATCATTAAGGCTGGAAAAGACCAGATCTAATATCATTCAGTCCAACCGTCAACTCATCAACACTGTGCTCACTAAACCATATCCCTGAGTGCTACTTCTACAGGTTTCTTGAACACCTCCACAGATGATGACTCCACCACTTCCCTGGGCAGCCTGTTCCAATGTCTGATCACTCTTTAGGAGAAGAATATCCAACCTGAACTGCCCAGCTCTTTTCTCACATAAATCAATGGGAATCTTTCAATAACTTTTTATAGCAAAATTATCTTCTCCTTGATGGACGCAACTTTCAGCAGAGGTCTCTCTTATTATTCTCTGTGCACTTATACAACCACTATACATGATTTGCCTCTCAATCTCTGCTTCAATCTCCTTATCTAGACAACTGGGATAATAATATCAAATTCAAAGATTTTTTTTCTGAAGGAAAGAGAACAATGAAGTGAAAATGAAAGGATTCTTATTTGCTCTTACAGAGGGATCTTCAGAAGAACCAGATTTTTTATTTTGCATTTCCAAATTCCTAAAAGATCTATTGTTCAATTCACCTCTAAACTCACCTACAAAGAAAGCCAGAAGGTACAGATTAATCACAAGGCTCTTATTAATAAAAGTTCTTGGCATCAGGAATTTAAAATGTGATACATGTTTTGTGAGGCGAAGGTCTGGTAGTTTCCAGTAGCTCACAGGACTTATAAATACACCTAAGAAGACTCTTTCTCACAACAGTTTTTGGGAAATGAAAACAAAAGGGCCTCTAATTTTTTTTCATAGCCTTCTTCCCTTCTAACCCTATACATGTTTCTTTTGTTGACAGCTGTTTTGGCCAGAATCCAAGAAAAATATGACTTATTCTGATACCATGTTTTACAATCTGGATAAACATTACCAGTGGTATTTTCTCACACACTTTTTTTTTTACTTAGGGAAGAACTTGATAACCTTTACGCTGCCTCTCTGGTAAAACGTGAGGCACTAAAAATACAGCACTAGTGAGCATTTAGCCCAAACTCAAAATGGCAAACATGCACGCTTCCTGGACGCCTGCACACTTATTACTTATGTAGATTAGCAGAGATTTGTGCAAGAGCACAGAACGGAGCAAAGTGACTACTAAACAGCAGCCTTTACTGTTCCACTGAGCTCAGGCTACAATGCATAATTATTCCTCGACAGTCATTTGTGTAGTTGGAGACAAAATTAAACTTACAGAATCATTTAATCAAATTACTGCCATGGGAGACAGATATTTAGGAGAAAGTTTACATTCGAAGAAAGAGAGAAAATTCTCTGATAAGCCTAGCTGGAAACGCATCATTAAAAAGAAACCCAAACCAGTGGTAAGACAATGGAACTGCAATGACAGAAGCTGCCATTTTGTTATAGTTAGAGCAGCTCTACCTGTCTGTCTGCAAATGATAAAGTGTGTCTTTATCGGGTGTCTTTGAGCACTTCTCAGGAGTTCTGGTAAGCCTCATATATGGTACCAGAGGTAGAGACTCCAACTCCCACCATAACTGCTTAAATACAACACAGACCTATGTAAACTGCAGAGAAGGGACTAAGGAAGAGATTCGGTTATGTAACCTCAGGCACTTGGTGCCATTTTAAATACTGCAGGATATTCAAGACATCTGTCTGGAGCTCACAGATAGAATAGGGAACGTATGGAAGACTTATGTCTTATGCAAGATGAAACAGTAGTAGGTACCTCTCTGGTTAACTGACTGTGACCTGAAAGTCTCACCCATTTTGCACCACGCTTGCTATACCAAAAGACTTGAGAACATAGTTCCTGTGAATTTGTTACCAGCTGGGAAGGGAAGATAGAGCCACTGTAAATAACGGAATCAAATCCAGATGGGCACACCATACTATAGTACACGCAGGGAAGCAGTGACTGCTATGAGGCAGTTTAATGGATATTGAGAACATTCAGCTTCTCACACACGTCTTAAGCAGTTAACAGGGACTGACCAATGTGGAAAGCTGATATTATGGTTATTCCCAACTGGGCTTTGGAGCATGTGGCCTCCTTCCCAGCTCTGACAGTCTGCTCAGTCCGGTACTGGGGAATTACTTCAACTCTTATGTGCCATTTCTCCTCTTCAAAACGAATCCACAATATTCTCCTCTTACATAAATGTTGCGAAGATAAATACTTCTACCTCAGGTATATACCAAGGTGAGTGTTAAAGAGGAGACAGATGCTGAATGATTTTAAGTAAACTCAAGGTGTTTATATATTTATTTTTGTGATTGATGCAATAAAGTACTCTTCAAAAGTGGAGGTAACTACTTTCCAGATTAGCCAATAGTTTACAAAATCTTAGAACCATTTTCCCATTCTTTCTATTTCTAAGGCTACATGACTTTTTCTATTTCCTTTCGAGGAAGAAATGTAACAGCTGCAGGAGAGCAGCTAGTATAAGGGGTAGACTTTCTGGTCACCTAAACTATGACCTGACCAATAAGAATCTTCTCTTCTGCCTCCTGTGAATCTGAGCATAAATTTTTAATGTTTGAATGACCAAAGCCTGTTAATATGCCAAACTGTAGACTGATAGGTTGGGTTAGATAACAAAGTCATCACTTGTCTTTGATACAAGATTTCTGAAAGTGGCAGGCAACTAGGAAAAGGAAAAAGTACGTGGTTGTATTCTGTTGAATGCCAGATAACCTTGCTTTTTATGTTCTCCAACGAGCAATAAAAGAAAAGCCACACATACTTTTTGGGAGCAAGGTACAAGTAACATTTCTATTCCAAGTCTTTTAGTTTGTTGTTGTGTTTCTAGTTCTGTGGGACCACATCAAACTTGCAAAGGTCTTCAGACTGCAGTTATATCTGTGCTGAATAAAAGTCATCAGAGATTGAATTAAGCTATTCTTCAATCCTAGAACACACAGGTCTGGTAGTGCTTTCAGATATAACACCACCCAATCAAAAATAAGAACTTGTAGACATCGACGAAGGGGAAGATGATGTAATTTTTCAGCAGCAGCTAGTTTTATGGTCCTTTTACAGCCCTCCATGGTTATTGGTCAAAAATTTAAACAGAAAGCAAATGAAAATGCTTTTGCCTAGTATCATTTCGTGTTTTAATGCTTGAAATCTCTAAGCTTGTTACATACCGGGGTGATTTAAGCTTTCAGAGTCCCCCACCATATGTCAGTTTCAGGGTCCTGCTGCATAAGCAGCAGCTTGTAGCCTATACAGCTGGAAGCACGCCCCTGCTCCCCCCTCCTTGCACGGGCCTCTGGCAACAGCTTCTCAACAGGAAAGCCTGCAGGCGGACAGCGTTGCCAGAAATAGTCAGGAAAGCGGACTAGCATGATTTAAATCTTAATACAGCCACATCACCTGTGCAATATAACATTGCAAGCTAAAGGATGTCATAGTGAGGTTAAATAAA